CCGAATTCTCAGATGGCTGCTGATGGCCAAGATACACCTAGTCGACAAAAATCAGACCTCTCCATCAATATCTCTACTCGGGGATCACGCTGCAGAACTACAAAGTCCATCTTAGAAACTGACATCATTGCTTACAGGTCAATGCTCATCTGATGCAGGTGCCAGCATCATAATGGACGGTTTGTGTGTTGGCTGGCTTGCGCTATTTTAGTATTTCTCTTTGTGCCATCTGCAGTGCTCATCAGCTATCTTTGTAACAATAATTTAACGGTTCTGTTGTTACATATGCTAGATGTACTAAATACATATAAGCACTACAACGATTTTTTGGGTATGGTGTTCAATATTACTGGGGAAGGTGTGTTAGTATTGTATGACGTCACAGAAAACCAGTTTGTAATATACTCACACCAGTCTTCGTATGAACACTCTGACAAACTTGACATTGACGCACACTGGCAGATTCATCCTCTCCCCATCAGGGCAACTCTCATTCTAGGTCCGATTGGTTGGATATGTTGGTGTATTCTAATATGCCATAGTTGGGCTCAGGTGGGTCCACCAAGTACAATCAACCCCATTTCACCTAGAGTCCTGCCAGTGGTCGGCCACTGTCCGACATCAATTATCAGCTGCCCTAGATTCTCGCTTGAAGATGCATTCTGGACCAGAATAGGCATGTCCATTTTGATCCTCGAGTTCACCGCTGTTACATAGTACTACTGCAATAGATCCGATGGCATTGTTCCAAGCCGATACTGGCAAATCACCTGTTCAATCTTCTCACTGGTGCCGAGCCTCTTGCAAGTTCTGAACCTTCTGACCCTGACACTTTGAATTTTTTTTTGTTTATTCAAGTTGTCCAATACCTCCTCTTGGAATCACCGTGATGTACCATAACTACTTGGATCAGATGTGCCGGTGACTCGGCCCCACTCGTGTCCCCTGGCAGTACTAGTGTATGACATATGCACGGATCATCATGTTATTCTTCTTCTAATAATCTACCGGACTACATGCACAAGCCATTCCGCATCACCCAAAACATGAACATGTCAGATATTGCCACACCGCCAGCACCCAAATTATCCTTCAGTGCTCTGATCCCTCCAAAAACTCCTGCATCAGTACTCAACAAGCTGAAGACATCTCCTGGAGGTTTTTATGCCGGAACACCTAGGCTTGCTCATCGCACCGAGTATTTCACAGGTGGAAGGGATGGTAACATCCTCATCACCAAAGGTCTAGACTATGACGAAGAGTTCATCATCCACAGGGTATTCGAGATCAGTCGTAATAATTTCTTTTTCACGCCGGATGGCGACTTCAATCCTGCAAATATCTTCCATGGCCACTTAGCAGACTTGAAATTGAGTTGTCAACTCACCACTGGTCGTAGCAAGGCCTTCAAGTTCTCATCAAAAGATTTCTCTACTGTCGTCAACAATCTCAATGCCTTCGAGAACTTAGTTCCGAAAGAAAGACATTATGAGACCGTTAGTGTTATTCAGGATGCTATCGGCCGTGGCAGATCAATCAAGCTGATTCACCATCTCTTTGAAGTAAGTTGGTTTTAGTGATTCGTCAATCCTCTTTAATGATACTGAATACTATCATACATAGGCTAATGACGAAGCTCAAGGTGGTACTAGTGATGAAGATGGTAATGGTTCAACCGCTGTCAGTGAGTTAGAAACGATCCTTCCCTGTTGTACGAACCTAAGTATCTGCTTTAGCCTGCCCAGACAGCCTAAGCTCTGAATTTGACACCGTGACTTGGCCAGTTGCCGAGCGATGTAAAGGCCATCTGCAGGATGTCTCATCCAAGCATAACATTTGCCCATTACCAGCATACGATCAGAACCACGTTCTTATACCACCACTCCAGTACAAAGCGAAACTTAAAGGCGCACTGGTTGAAGTTCATATGGCATTTTACCATCACCATGCAAAGAAATCAAGGCGCGACATATTTGAAGCTGTTTTACGAGAGCTCATCGTCTTATCACCTCCTGCACCCATGCCAAGCAGCCGCTTCAAACGTCGACGCCTCAATGATGGGCCCTGCACTGAACGACACAACAAGTGAAATAACTGACACGCTTCACCTTAAATTGTAGTATGTATTTACTCTGGTCATTGACTATTTGTACATTGATCACTTTCCACAGTATCATTGCGCAGCCTGTTCAAAGACATGATACCGGATCATGTAACCGCTGGTGTATGGCATTTGTCCCATATTGATTAATAATTGTACCTCTACTAAGTTTCCCCTGTACTGTACTGTTATAACAGAGTATATTTTACCGGCCTCGTGTTTGTTCCCTGGATGAACTTCGGATGGCATCATTTCAGTCAAACTAACATGGAAACCTAATGCAATCACAGCACACGATACTGATTGGCACCAACTGTCAGTGAGAGACATTAAGTAATTCTAATGTCAACTCTGGACTTCGCACATCATACAGCAAACTTTGTAACTTTTTATGATGCCCGTGCATCGGGAACGTTACTGAAGGGTCCAACTGTATGTGGCAAGGAGCGGAAGGAGCTCAACAACTTTGTTTTGTCATTAGAACGTGGAAAAATGCATATCAAGATTCACCTCTCTGTCACAAGAGCCTAGAGAACTGCATTTCACCATGTATGCCAGTAACCTGGACAAATGGCACCCATCCAACTTTACTCTTGCGGGTGCTACATTCGCACAAAAGTTGACCCTGGACTTGCACTCACAGACTTGGATGTATCTATTTAATACAAATATATTACAGCTACTTTACGTCGAGATTCTCCACTGCCTGACACATCTTAGAAAGAATTACATTGTGCCTTTCAAGAGCCGTCTCAATGCCGGACAGCACCTCGACCAAAGTCTTCGACGGACTCTTTGTGCGTGGATTGAACTCAAATGGTGTCTGTAGCTTCCTATGCTTCCTTGGTGTGGTAGGATTCGTGGATGGCACCCGTCGTGGAGAGTTGGTTAAATTATGACCGAAGCGGCATGGACTCTGTCGGAAAAATTATTCATGGAAGGAGAACTCTTGGAAGCTCACTCACAGCCTGGATGTCTCCACTGTCTGAGCATGGCCGCTTTCTCTTCGACAGAGACAAAAATTTTGTATCATCTTCAACCCGGGCATTCCAGCCATCGACGTCCTTGAAATAAAAGCGGTGAGATCAGATTGTATTCAATAAATGTCTGAATGGCACGTTACCCGCTTGAGTTGCTGATAATGCTCCTCTTCAATCTTCTCGATGAGCTTGATAGCACGGTCTACGTCTGAATCTGAGGCGTCTCTATACCCCAAATGGCCTGCCCCAGGTGTACAGTCTCCGCTGACATCATGGAGACTTTGTAGGTCATCAAACGGGTCATCTGTGGCAGGGGTGCTAGTATTAGCATATCCCAATAAAATTTCGGCTGCATCGTTATGGTCAGATGGGTGAGAGTCATTGCTGTAGCGGCGGCGTTGGGAATATGACATTGTGACTCAGGACTAGTGGGTCAATCGTTCCTCCAGTTCCCACTGGCAGTTTGAACATGCTTTAAAACTATATTTCATATCAATGCTAGATCTGAGATAATCCACTCACCGGCGTCAGTGAGCTTCACGTTGGTGGTACCGGCTGCATCTCAGTATCAGGATCCACTTTTGTTCTATTACAGCACTAGCTTGGATGATGGCATGTGAGTCACCATGAAACGGGTCACCTACTTTCAGTAAATAACAGGTTCTCTGCATGCCAGAAAAGTTCAAGACGCGGAGCTTCGTGACGTTAAATTAGAGTTGCACACATTTTACCCCAAATGATCTAGATGATTGCATTGATGGACGCGGTGCCAAACATGAATCAGCGCTGCTGTTGACAGACATGCATCAGAAAACACATACGTTGCCACTCTGAATTTTAATGCCCTTAAAGGTCTAGTCGCTCCCATCAGTGGGGGACAGTATCAGATTAGAGTCATTCAAGATCCGAGTATCCGAACTTCAAGTTTAGGTTAGACACGTTGCCTGGCCAGCACCCGCAGCTTGTGCAGTGCCATACATCGATGTCGACATGTGCGTTGTCAACGGATTGAGCTTCTGTAGCAAGAATTGAGCTTGACTGCCACACTGGTCGCAGATGATATAACATGGTATAGGGAAACGGTCGACCAGCAAGTCCTGTGTGTACAGCCGTCAAAGTGAGTTAGAAGCTGAATTGTCGCACCCAAATGCGGACAAAAACCTTGTTATGTAAGCTAATATGTTCAGTTTTTGATTGTACTCCCCGTGTTTCAAGTTGGTAAGTATTTTTTGAGACATGCCGTTCAAAATGTTCCCTAAGGTAAGCCTACCAATTCTTGAAATGGCATGTACTCATGCAATGCAATAACAGTGGTCACGGGAGCCTTTTAAGCATGCCCTGGGCTTGATGGTGTCTATCCTATGATGTGAGTGGATATAAACCTTTCTCCGAGTATCTGTTGTGCTACAGTACTGACACTACAGTGATACCTGCTCTCTGATTTAGTCCGTGCTCTGCTTTTTACCTCCGGCTGTCATCTTTAACACGCGACACATGGTCCTCACGATCCCCTCATGCCTCATTTTATTTCATCTCACCTTTATACAAGGTCGGTCAGCAGTGCATTAATAAAAAGTGATCTGACATACTTACCTGCACAGCTGCATATGTAATCGACCTTGGTTGGACTGATTTCATGTTCAGCAGCCCAGCCACGTTGGAACGAGTGCGGCGTTCGCCATCAGTCCTTCGCTGCTTTGGACGACCCTGCATGGAAAGTACTTCCGGGCTGAGCTGCTCTTGCTCGTCAGTGGCTGGTTTTCATCCTCTTAAGCTTGACCAACTTTTTTCTAAACTTGAGTACGTGGTGACCCAAGTACTCGACGAGTACATCTAGAAATTTCACATTCCAGTCAAGGAGTCTTTGGAAGCATATATCATACTGGGCATGTAACTTTTTCCATAATCATTTTCTTTTAGCTCATCTAGTAGCAGATCCATATGGGGTCCTCGAGGAGGGGCAGATATATTTTCGCTCTTCAGAACTCATCACCGATCCCGAAAGCAGAACCCAGATGGATATCGTGACCGGTTCTGTTCTGGTGAGTACTTCAGTCCATTACAATGAACTGTCCTGAGATGTTGATAAACAGGTATGGAGGAATCCCACAAGACTGCCCTCTGATGTCCAGAAGGTAAGGAAATCAATACCTCGTCGAATGACCTTATCAAATATGGATCAGGTCACTACCATCAGTCACCCAAAATTGGCTAATTACTTCGATGTCATTGTGTGCCGTTGTAGAAACAACAATACTGAGAGGAACAAAGAAATGCTCCTGACTGTATCTAAAAAGTTGTAGGTCGTGCGTTGCCTAGTCTGCTATACTTGAAAGGACAAGTGCGTTCGACCCTAAAGGGGAAGCAGGTGCAGCGGAGATCTAGAGGTACGCGCTTCAGCGAAGCGCGAGAAAGCGCAGGTGCGCGCAAGGTACGAAGGTGCGGGAACGCGCGCGCGTATTAGCGCGAAGCGCGGGAAAGCGCGCGCGTGTAAGTGGAAATAAGAGAGACTAAACTTATGTGAAGATATAAGCAAGATAAAGGATGTGAGATGTGTTGTGCTAATGAATAGATTTCTACTGCGACTTTCTAAGTAGTAAGTACTAGGTAAAGTTGGGTGAAAAGTAAGGTAAATAATAGTATGTACTGCTGGCGCTTATATAGCGCGCCTAAGCGCGCTCATGCGGAGCCGAAGCGCTACCGAGTAGGTATGTAAAAATATATATGAGTGAGAAACTATGATAAAAATAAAGGTGGAACTATGCTAATAAAGGAAATGGAAATATACGCACTAGGGAGCTTGGTGGACAGTGGATGGATGCATCTGGATGGCTGGCGCTATAGGGCGCGCAAGCGCGGGAACGCGCGCGCGCGTATACATCGTGAAGCGCGGGAATGGTGCGCGCATGGCGCGTGTTGCGCGGGAAAGCTGCGCGTCATATAGGAATCACTGTGGATGGTACACAGAGTGATGCTGCGAGTTGGTGCTGTATACTCCCTAGTGTAAAGCGCCATATCACACTATGAGATGCACGAGTCTCTACACCGTTCCCTGTGGAGGGGGAGCACTCATTAGCAAGCTACTTGGGTGGAGGAGGTGGGCACTTACTTTCATCATTTTCCGGACATCGCCTGACGTGTTCATTCTATAGGATGAGTAACCAAAGTCTCTGCAAAGGAGGCTTGAATTGCATTCCAGAAGGTCCTTCTTCTTGGACTCACAGAAACAAAAATCGGATTATATTCGAAGTTCCATGATCTTGCTGTGTATGAGCGTGGCTATGCAAGTGCTGCCGCCATTTGGTTGGCATACATGTGAGAATGTCTGCGGTATACTGCCATTTTTTTACAGACACGCGGGTCAGACGAGCAAGACAGTTTTCATTCTCTCAGCGCAAAAGTCCTAAAAGTCGTTGCAACGACTACATATGGTTTGTATGGTGTTACATTGTATATTGCGCACGTGTCCAACATGTTCTAATGCTTAACCTCATTCCAGCCTCTGAAAAATTCCATCCCTCATGGTCTGATTTTCGTAAGTCCATTCGGAATATATTTTAAAGCAGCTTACCTAGACATCCTAATGTGCACCTTAAAGTCCCAGGAGACGCTCCAACTCCTGCATTTCCATCTCATAGATTCGGTGCTCCCTTGCAATCCACACCACTATCATCGCACGCATCACTTCTGACAAGACCAGGGGCTGAGGGCGGGGCTGAAGTGGTACTTCAGGTTGGTAGAGTTCTTGGCGCATGCAGATTCGTGCGCCGGCCCATGTAAAGTACATTAATTGCTTTAAAAATATTAACATTGTAATTACTGAACGAGTCGCTACTTACGAGCTGTTCTTCAGTCAGCCTGAAGGTCACGTCCCGAGGCCTTGGTATGAGTCGTAAAATGTGTGGATCAATCTGTAGAATCTGTGAGCAGTGATTATTATAAAATCCTCAACGTACCTGGCTTTCGTTTGCATTCTGATTTCCGACTCCTCTGTTGGCATCCGCGTGGTTGTTCATACTTGTGCTGAAGTGGTAGAAGTATGTAAACTCGAATTTAAAGTGAGTTAATGTTTACCTTTGTCATTTGAGCTATCGCGTCTAAGAACATATCCTGATTTGGATTAGTGTTATATTATCGGCATTTTCCGAAACGGTGCGCGCGGTACGTCTGACATCTGCTCATTGTTTAGTGTTGTATTTACTACTATATCCTAGGACTACATACATAAAGATGGCGGTGACTTTCTTCAGGAATACTTGGAGGATTCCGCGGATTGGGCAGACCTATCCGTTTGAGGTTTGTTCGACATGTTTACTTCGAACTTACTAAACTTCTTCAGGAATACCTGGAGGATTCTGCAGACTGGGCAGACCTATCTGTTCGAGGTTTGTTCGACATGTTGACTTCGAACTTACTAACCTTCTTCAGGAATACCCCTTATATTCTTCCTGCCATCCAGAAAACTCAGGACACGCATTATGCGGCAGGATACTACAGTATGTCTTCATTTCTTGGTAAGGGCCCGGTGCTAATGACATTGGGCTTTCATTCAGGGATCATTGTTGACTGTTCTGATCGGCTCCGCGGGACAGAAAATGATGTCAAGTTAAAGTTGCTGAACCGGAACCCAGTAATTTTTATTTATTTGAACCCTTCATACCTATTAGTGACCGCAATCCTTTAATCACCGTTAGTTCATTCCAAGCCGAACATGAAGCCCTAAGACGTAAATTGTCCCCATTAGTTGAAATACACTGGATCAAAACATTGCTGATCTTTCATACTTCAGGCAGCCGCGGCGCACCTTCCCTCACTTCCACACCTCTTCCATCCACCTCTTTCAATGTTCATCTTTTATGTCACAAACTAACTCCCAAGGTGATGGCCCGCCTTCTGAAGTAGCGGCCTTGAAGAGGCGGCTGGCTGTTTTAGAGGCACAAAATGCAGAACTCCGCAAACAGCCGGTGGAAGAGAAAAGGTGCGTAAGATCATCTAGCATTTGGTTATCCTTTGAGCGATTGATTTGACAGTGAACGCCTTCATCTGGAGGGTTGGGTGATCCGCCGACTCGTCTGCCTTACTGAACGTGTTGAAGATCTCGTCACAGAGTTTGATAGACATGTGACGCTGGGTATCGACTCAGATGATGATACTAGCTTGAATGACCCCAAGTAGGTCCTTTCGCATGTACATTTACTTGCGCTACTTATGTCCACTAGGGACGACAGGAGGTACAGATCATACAAGAAACTAGCCACTTGATGTCCAACTGTTCGTAAGGTTGTACACTCCGAGGTTGAAAACAGGGAGCTCTCTTATATACAGTGGCTCAAAAAGTGTCCCAATGTTTGTAGCTTTTCATGTAATTGCTATATCATGTGTCAAGACGTGGGAATATGACTAAGCTATAGGGAGATGTCGGAAAGGTCTGCATCTCAGCTTCATTTCGGTTCCCTATACCGTGGGAAACTAATGACATTATGTGAAGATATGAGTATTTTAATTTGATGACTCATTGGGACACTTTTTTGACTTTGAGTTTTACTAATGTAATCTCTATAATTCTAGTACTGTGTGTGACCTCCTTCTGCTCCAATCACTTCTGCCACTCTTCTAAACATATTCTCTATCAATTTTGGGTATTCCTCTTTGGTGATTCCATCATACTCTGCTATAACACTGTCTCATAGTTGGAATAGCCCCTATAGTGAATCTTGATATGCTACAAGTAATTTCTTGAGTGATTCTCAGGGGTATTCAATATGGTTGATGTCTTGGGTCTATGTTGAACATGATAGAATAGTAATATCATGGTTTGCAAGCTATTGGTGGCTTATTTAGAGGTATACTTAGGGTCATTGTCTTATCACAAAACAGTATCTTCTTCATTAACTCATAACTTCTGCATGCTTCTTAGCAGACACTCCTGTCAAATGAGTATTTACTACTCTGTATTCATCCTCCCCTTTGCTTCATAGAAGATTCCCACTCCATTTTATCTCATATAGTCCTATACCATCAAGTTTTGTCTTGAAACTTAAGGTGTTTATTTAACTTTTCTTTATCTTAATGATTGTCCTATCTATTTTAATATAAATTCCTTGCCATATGATTTCATCCCATTGATTTTAACCTTATCTAACTAGATAAACCTCCTTCAGCTATTAGCAGTCCGATATTTGTACTTGAAAGTAGCATCTTGTCTTTTATTTTTATAGGTTGGAGACAGAGGAATCTGTTTTTCTTGATTATAGCTTTAAGATGGGCTGTCTTGAGAGTCTGTCTGACTATTTGAGTAGAGATAGTCATAGGAATGATGGAAATAATCAATTTAATCACTTTATTAGCATCAGCAGTCTTTCCAATTAGAATATAGTGATTAAGAGATCTTAAGTCTTATAGAGCAACCTTCTAGATTGGCTACCAAATAACTTAAAGACCATAATATTACTATTCTATCATGTTCAACATAGACCCAAGACATCAACCATATTGAATACCCCTGAGAATCACTCAAGAAATTACTTGTAGCATATCAAGATTCACTATAGGGGCTATTCCAACTATGAGACAGTGTTATAGCAGAGTATGATGGAATCACCAAAGAGGAATACCCAAAATTGATAGAGAATATGTTTAGAAGAGTGGCAGAAGTGATTGGAGCAGAAGGAGGTCACACACAGTACTAGAATTATAGAGATTACATTAGTAAAACTCAAAGTCAAAAAAGTGTCCCAATGAGTCATCAAATTAAAATACTCATATCTTCACATAATGTCATTAGTTTCCCACGGTATAGGGAACCGAAATGAAGCTGAGATGCAGACCTTTCCGACATCTCCCTATAGCTTAGTCATATTCCCACGTCTTGACACATGATATAGCAATTACATGAAAAGCTACAAACATTGGGACACTTTTTTGAGCCACTGTATACAGCAAGGTAAGACTTGCAGACCCCTTGGTGATGAGGCTAATTAACACTATTCGTAGTTAAATAAAGGTGCTGATGGAGCAAGGGGTGACGATACGACACGGCTCAAAGTTGTTGTTGCCTCGTGGTTGATGCAACAAACCCCACATCCGACCCCCATCATCCATGGGCAGAACAAATTGGGTTGCGGATTTAATAATGATGCAACTGGATGGCTCATATGCCCTGTCGATTACGACTGGAATGATCCAGTGTAAGTTTTGTCTACTTCACAATGTCTTTGCTGACCAATGAGGTAGCGTCCAACAAAACATCAGGGATTATCACCCTGATTATCGTGTTACGGCTCACTCATGGCCTTCTTTTTTATATAAGGACGAAACATATGACCCACTGAAACCTACAGATGGTTTATTCAAAGGGCAATTCCTTTTAAAGGTATGTTTCATGAGGATGAAGGATCATCTACTGAGGTCGTTTGCAGACATTCAAATACATCTTCACGTCTCCCACTTCTGCAGAGATGGACGAGCAAGAGCAGCTCAGCCCGGAAGTACTTTCCATGCAGGGTCGTCCAAAGCAGCGAAGGACTGATGGCGAACACCGCACTCATTCCAATGTGGCTGGGTTGCTGAACATGAAATCAGTCCAACCAAGGTCGATTGCATATGCAGCTGTGCAGGTAAGTATGACGGATCACTTTTTATTAATGCACTGCTGATGCAGGCCATTTAGCTTAGGTTTGCTTTGTCTAGCACGGGATCATGGCATATTGTAGATGACGAGTTCAACCATCAAGAGTTCTACGACAATATCGTTGACTTCCTTGAGCTTGCTGTGACATCAGACGCAGCTAAGGAAGTAGAAGACCTCTTACTTTGGTGGAACCAGTGAGTCATCGTATATAGCTGTAACTGTCTAATGCTATTCTGATTATACTGTAATATTCAATAGCAAGGTTTTCAGACGCAAGCATGTGTCCACCTATCGGCCCCAAAGAGTTGAACAACTGTCCGTCGCTCGGTGTTCGGTCCGACATTAGCTCAGCTTTTGCAGACTAGATTATGCTCGTTGTTTGACAGATCAGTCAAAGGCCGGCACTGTATTATATTAGTGTGTACTGTTGATACATATGAGCAAACATTTTGTGTTGTCGAGTATTCAAATGACAAGTGTGCCATGATTTTGATTTTTAACGGAATTTTGCTGTATTTTACCCATTGCATATGTTAGAGATTCAGCAATATAAAATTGGTAATATAGTATCTAATGGTCATTCATTTGCTGCGTCTCCATGATTTGTTCGCACTGAACAATGATACCTTTATTACAATTATGAGGCTGTCACCCATCTATGGTACAGGTAGCCGGATACTATACTTCTTTAATATCTGCGAAACAATCCTTTGCACGCTTAAATTTTTGTACAGCAGACTCTCTTTTAAACAATTTTCATTCATATAAGTGTAGATCGACTTGACCTACTTTGCCATCAAGATAACATAGAATCTTCGATGACAATCAGATGTTCTAGTCTCACAAGTCTATTAAGTTGGCAGGATGACAAATATCAAGGCACAATTCATTTGTGTACCGATGCTAGCATGAAGATTGATACGGAAAATGTAGGCACAACTTGGGCGCAACTGGTAATTACCTTGCACATTGGTCACAAAATGATATGTGTTAGTTATCAATCGTGTACTCATAAATATGTAGCACAACTAGTAATTAAATCACAATGTTTCAAAATTGTCCTGTATACACTTATCAGACATGGTAATTGATGAGATTTTGTAGCACAACAACGAAACTCATGTCATTGATGCCATACACCAATCCATATGATTTTCCTTGATCATGTGGGATATGCATACATGACTTTATATGAAAAACAACCCTAATACTTCTATCTATCTATCTATCATACAGATTAAACATTAAATACACTCTCATAGACAAGCGGCATGAACAACCACAGTGCTCTGAAGTCTACATACTGCCTTGTGTAAACCTATTTTGCACGCCTGTGAATCTGATTCAATGTATTAATAATCGCAATGGTGCAACTACCACCAAATATAGGACCGTGTGACGGTCATGGGTAATAGAGGATAGCGTTTTAAGGGCATAAATAACTAAATAATCTACACTACCACATTTTAACCAAATATGAACATTATATACATGATAATGTGTATATAAAGGTTGATAGGAAATCTTGGCTTTCAGTGATGAACGCGTTGCAGAAAGTCTGCTCCACAATACAGTGATCACGCAATCCAATAAGTTGTTATTTCACACGGCTGCGTCACTGAGTAATACTGATTCCGAGTTGATCACTGGTTAGTCACTCGTACAGTGGCCCCATACTGTCACACTTCGGGCTCGCGCCTGAAAACACACTCTGGGACCTCAATATTCAATATTCACATTCCTCCCCAAGCTGCGTACCCCTTTCCAAGCTTGAGCAGCTTGAGCGGCGAGCCCCAGTAGAAACCGCCCCATGCATCAAATCCATTCGTCTAAGATAGACCATCAAGTCATTTTCCTTCGCCATTTCCGCAAACTTTTCACTTTATCTCGTTGCCTTTAGAGTTGACTCGACTATCTCTCACAGTTCCCCGGTATGTCGCCCTTTCCTCCCAATCGCTCGGCCTCGCTGCAGGCCGCAAGTCGGTCTAATCATGTCAGCCTTCAGGTTGAGTAAATTCGCAATGCATGACTCAGGCCACATCCAGTTCGAAATAGGCTCTCCCCCCTGCCGCTCCGGTGGAATCACGGAGTTCTGCGTCAGGGATTTTCCTTCCATACGTCCGTATCCCAACCAGTCACTGAAGTCGCAGCAGGGCGGAGATTCATTGTCACAAATATTATTATTTCTCATTGCCTTGTTGCTCGTGTGTCTTATAGCCCTTTTCTGCTGCCAAATTACGAGAATACGGGAAGGTCAGTGATACCCGGCACACCAACGGACAGCCAGAGTAAACTGGCGGGTCGCCGATTGGTTAATTTACTTACCCATGGCGTCGAATATCAGGTGATCACCACCTGGACAATGTGTGTCTTATCGCTGTATCGCTGTGTTCATGCGCAACCTTTTGAGATCGATTCCTCTCCTATAAGCATAGCATGAGGGTGCCTGGGCTGTCAATAGACACCTCTAAGCTTCAACCCCAGGGTTCAACGTACCAGATGCGGGCCAACGGGAAGGGACTGTGAACCGATCAATGGTATGCAGCTTGGTTGCGCCAGTTCACGAGATTTTGGAAACGGGTCTAGTTGATGAAGTGTCAATTTATTCGAAAGCAATTTTCTTGTTCATCAAAGACAGACAAAAGCAGAGACCGTAATACCGTGCCATCCAGTACCCTTTGCACCATATCATATGTCAGACCACCTCGAGTACAAACCAAGTCTACTTCGAATTCATCATCGCTCGGATGTGTGCTTCTCTCGTTGTGTTCACGACTTCAAACGAGCAGTGAAATGGTTCAGGGTGACTTCGGCAGAGTCAGTCGCAGGTTATTGGATGCATACTGAGTCACTTACATAACTACACCAGTGGAGAACTCTGGCTTCACCTCAATCCTGTCTCCGTTTGAGTCTTTGGCATGATCGATGCGCAAGACGGCGAGTATGGCAGCAGCTACACTCCACAAACCGTTCTCTGCAAACCAACGACCTGCCAAAGGCATTTGTCATAACACGGCCAAATCAGCCATGAATCAGCTTACCAGGACAAATACGTCTGCAAGGGTCAGTGGATGATTGAAGATGATAGTAAAGTTGGAAAATTCACCTGCCATGACCAAAGGTAAAATGGTTGACGACAGTGTTCTTCAGTTTCCCATCGACTGGTCAGATGGCGGCTAGGATCGAAGCGTGATGCATCGGGAAATATGTCTTCATCCCGAGACAGTGCCCTGAGCAATGCTCAGCTCAACCCATTGCATACACTCCAGCCTGACATACCACTGATTAACCATTACTATCGCACCTGATCGAACTACATATGAGTCAACGATAACCTTGATTCGTACGACTTCGAACCTTTGGGTATAAAGTACCCATCATAAACATCATCATTTAGTGTCGCATGTGCGATTCCTGTGCAAGGGGTTAGCGCTTCAGCCATGCAAACACAAAGCTGTATTGCTGCCGACTAACCAAGGGGAGCAGGGAGGATTCCATCTCAGGACCTCGCGAAGAATGGCATCAAGATAGGGCAGTGACGCCCTGTCATCAAGGCACGGCATGCTGTCATGCCCCACAGCTTGGTCAATTTCTGCACGAGCACGGGATTGGACGTCAGGATGGAGCATCATAGCCAGCAGAAATGCCTGCAATACGGATGCAGTCTGCTGAGACATCAAAGTAAGACTCAGAAATGTTTCAAGTAATTAAGTAGCGACTCACTGGTTTCCATGCCAGCTAAGATGGCGTATTCCCGTCAATAGATGAGCTCCAGTTGGTGAAAACAAATTCCTACCCATGTATCCTGTCAACGCAACAGACTTCATCATGTCTTCGTCAGTGTTGTCATGAGCTTGACTGAGAAAGTCAGCAACTGATGAGTGCGAAGCAGTACCATCTGCCTTCATACAAACAGATCAGGCTGAAACTTTCATCCGCAAGTCTGCGCGAACGTACTATCTGTGCCTTCACTTCATTAAAGGGCTCGTTCAAAAGTTGTTGACATAATTCTCTACAACATCCCATCAGGGCAAACGATCCACCAAAGCACCAAAACGGCAACTTTTCGACTGCAACCTTATGTTGAATGTTCAAGATGATGTCGTCGACAGAGGCACTCACGGAAAGGAAAGGCTGTGAACATGGCAGCTTTCTCAGGAGAGAGAATCTGTTTTCCAATATCAAGTATTTCGTGCGCACGGGAAAGAAATGAGCCTTCATCAGCGAGATGTCCGTATGTCACGGCCATGATCAGGGATCCCGAATATCTGTGACAAGGATTGATCGTCAACTGGATCATACGTCACAACGACATCCTTGGATTAGGTACGAACGCTTCAGTGTGTTGCTGCAGTGAGTCTCTAGTGGCACCTAAGAGATCGATGACTAGTTCATTTGCATGGCGAGAGTATATCTCGTGATACGAGATTGAAACTTCGGCGCTAAGAACTTGGTGGTATAGCTTGCGATGTTGTCGTAAAGTCTCCCCATACGGAAGCATCACAGAATTGAAAGCCAGTCCAGCTCTGTATCGTCAGCGGATGAAGAACAAATTGAATGAAAACCGGCAATACATACAATTCACTGGTACGAAGAACAGGACGGGTAGAGTAATTCGCAGAACGCTTTTCCAGCAACTCCTGGGCGATGGTTTCTGAGTTTATGATGATCATGTCGATCCCAAGTATACGGGAGCGGAAGATTTTTCCTATGATCAGATATAAAATTAAATCCAGGAACTTGACAAAAAGCCTCAAGAGGCCATTGGTCTGCTGCTACCAACCATATGTTTTTCCCCATGCAGTATATGTGAGCCAAGGGCGTTTAGTATCCAATTGCAGCGCGTTACTCAGAAATGGTAAGGGACGAGGACCAGGTAACAGAGGTAAAGGATAGACACGTCTGCGAGTCAGACGCAACGCGGCAAGCAGGGCAGTAATGCACGATATCGCTAGAGTGAAGAGCATGGGAAGGGATTGTGGTCGAGCACAAGGGGGGCGGCGGCGCCGATCAGAGAACCTGTGAGAAGAAGATATCGTCATATATCGTTATATATCATAATATATAGGAAAGGTTTTCGTCACATTGGAATATAAAGTGATATAAAGCAATATATGACTATGTAAAAGCATTATAATCAGCATAATCCCCAGCAAGAACATCACCGAAATTACCAAATCCAGAGATGGTCATATATTACCATGTCGGAGCCACCATAACTGCCATATGTATCTGGCGCAAGTCTCAATGCAAGGCAATGTTAGGAAACTCAATTCGGACATTGCGACTGCCATATGACTATAGTCTGGCATTAGGCTAGTGTACCGATATATCAAACATTGCTATGTACATAATGCATTTGAATTTCACTCAGATTCATCAGACATTGCAATTGTGTTCGGATATAACAATGTGATGCATTGAATTAATGGTAGTACAAAGCAGTGAGGTACAATTGAGTGAACAGTTCCGAACCTAGTTCAGAACGTGTTCGATCTCTCGAACCGTAAAATCTTACAGTGAAAATAGCTACTAGAACTCTCACGACCATGGGTACCAGCTTGAGGCACTGGTGCTGCTCGTTTCATTTTGTGTCCAGCAGGTGGAGGAGACGTTGGAGGTTCACTCAAAGGAGAAGTTCACGTTGAACAGGTGCCAGGGAAGCTGCAAGGAGGTGCCGGCCCAGGAGAACCTAGTAGATTACATCAATATCAGTCATATATTCTGCAAGCCCATCTCGAAAGACAAAGACGTACCGCTATGATAATGTGAGGTAAGCATCCATGACTATAACCAGTGGTTATTTTGAGAGCTCTAGCGCAAAGTCGAGTTAAAAGCAGAAATGGAAGTGATTGAACCACTGACCTTTGGTCGACAATGCAGACATCAATCACTCTTGCATTTGCCAGGGCCAGCGGCAATAATGACAATGAGAACGTCGACTTCAGAGTGGCGTACGAATGGAACAGGCATCGCAAATTTCGAAAGAGCTATGACTTAACAATGGGGAAAATGTAGAGAAGTGCATCAAACACTTCGAACACTAAGCAACATAAGACATCGACTGTGCGAAGCACAAAGATGGACAACTCACCTTTCTTTCTGACTGAATCTGACATATGATGTCTTATAAGCGTATGTTGGATTTGCAGAAGAGACTACAGTAGCAATGGTCAGACAAATTTAGATATAGTAGATAGTTTCGTACCTGATGTGCAGATGAGTCCGTGGAAGCTGTAAAATAGATATCGATGATGCAAGTAGACGATGCTGGATCTATCGGATGGATGAAATAAGTACATAACATATGCATATATGTGCATACACTCACCTAAGTCGGCCATCCAGATAGCATATAGTCATGGAAAAACACTGTGCTGTTGGTCAGGTTGAGGTGGCCTTCAGTATGAGTGATGGTGACAATTGCAGAGACATATTGAGTGATTGGACTTAGTGGTGTTGGTATTGGTATAGAATTAGAGGGAGGATAAGCAAAGATAGCACGTCAACATAGTTGATAGGAATTTGCCGGCGGGCTTTAAACAGTCATGTGATCGTATTTGCAAGTCATTTTACCCTCACTTTCCCCGCTGCAGCGCTGAAGTTTGAACGTTTGTACTCTCCATGAGGATGAGATTGTGGCGGACGACGGCGAGGAACTCGATGATAAAATACTTATGGAGGAAGGTTCTGGCGCCCTTTAGGTACTTTACTTCAGTTTCACCCATTTTTCGTTGTATTACTCTATATAATACATTGGATGTATCTGGATATGTCTGATATCTGGCTGACAGCTACTCTACTGGATGACTTGTGTCTGACAGATGGTATGTTTGATGTCATTGTATCGCTACGATATTTCAAATGTCGGATATCACAGGTATATACAATTGGCGGCGTCAGAAAATTCGATATATCATGTGATCTCTGGATTCGGTAATTTTGGTGATGAACTCACCGGTTTACTGATGGGCCCGCCGCCGCCAGGGATGCTGCAAGTTGGTTCGTCTTATCATATTTGCAGCTTGCTTCTTCGTGTGGAAAAGTTCATCAATTGAGTGACACCATTAGTTACGATAGCTAGTAAATACATCACGTACCTTCACATAGCTCAAGCTCAAGAGGAGGCTTTAGTTGACCTCTGACTTGAGAATTATGTAAGTTCCTCAGGCTGCTGATCGAGGAGTCACATGACAATGCGAGCTGTACCATGTTGAAAACGCTACTCACCTCTAGCAAAAATGACATCAAACTCTGATAAGAACGGATAAGACTGCATTATCTATTAATATTAGTGTTGCAGAAAAGTCTCTGTTCAGTACGGTGATCACGCAATTGGCTGCGTCTGAATCAGTACTGTACAGTGGCCCCATACTGTCACACTTCGGGCCCGCGCCCGACAACACACTCCGGGACCCTAACACCAATTGAAGTAGGCTACCAACAGTGCCAATCAATAATGCCCTGCTCATCGAGTGACGGCCCGCCCGTGGCAAAGATCTTACCATAAGGTGAGTAGCAAACCGTGTTCATGGATTGCCCTGTGTTGACTGGTCCCAAGATAGTTTCTGCGTTCTGGGCATGAATATTCCTTCCTACGTTCTGCTCAGCACTCGCTCTCCGTCTGGACTCCAACACACATAATGCACCTACTCTGTATGCCGCCCCGTCACACCTTGCCCGTGTCGATGTTCCACAACTTCACTGTACCATCCTCACGCCCGCTTGCCGTCTGGCGAAAATGCTATGACGCGCACTCTTTCGTCTTCCTCCTCCCATTCCTCGACCTGCATGCCCGTCCCCAAGTCCCAGACTCGAAGTGACCCATCCCGTGAATAGTTGGCGATGACTTGCTGCCCAGTAGACAGGTGTCAGTTGTGGCTGATCTCGTTATTTGCTTTGACCCTTCGGTCAGGAATCGCCGCTGAATTCTCGTGCTTCGCAGGGGCTCGATGTCCATCATTTTGGTTTCAGAATTCACTCAACGGGTGCATCAGCTCTTACTATCAATTACCGCACGAATTCAACAGTTACTCAGAAACCAGATGCACTCAACTAAAGACGAGTGTGAGAAGTTGGTCGACGGAGTGGATGTTTCGTTTGAAAGAGATTCAAGTCAGGAAGGAGGTCGTTGTTCAAGTCTCGTGTTCGCTTCACAGCTCCAGCACTGGCTGTGCAGATGAAGCACTCGACGCTCTGCTTCCACAACATGCCCACTTCCTTCATCCCTCACCATCGCGGTCCTACGATTCCGCAAGCCTGCATTCCTGTATTTCTCTATTCTGTAAGCGTTTTATTGACAGGGTTGGTTGACAAGCGTGAAAGGCCTGTACCATCGAGCTCGTCGCTGGCCGTAGGGAATTCCAAAGCTTGCTCATGCGCAGTCAATCCTCCCAGGTGTTAGGCGTGGTGCCATTCCAGGCATCGATGGACAATGCCATTACATTGGTGCCGTGGCTTCATTTCCACTGGGCACTTGCGAGGCAATCTATGGTGACACTAGCGAAGACGCAAGGAATGAAATTAGCTTCTCGATCTAATTAACAGATCCTTTGAAAGACACGTGCAGCCATCTGCTGCTTGAAAGGTAAACTTGCTGAGAGCTACAAGTTTTTGTATCATCATTCGGAGTGCGACTTCCTCCCTTGCGTAGCTTTCTGGTCTAGATTTCATTCTACTTGTGTTTATTATCTTTGTAACTCCTTCCTTTATTTCATGCTGGTCTTTATCATATGCGTAGTGACAATCTCCATTCAAATATAACACTGAGATATCTATCTATCTACATCATACACCATCTTTCAAGTGCTCAAGTCATTTTCAACTCTTCTTCGCCGCCAGTATGCATGCACCATGCCTGCGCGATGACGTGCTCGGGGTTGAGGCTGTGGAAGCATTGACAGATGAAGGGGATTGAGTGTTTGGCGGAAACGTGGCATAGGGATATGTCATGTTTGAAGGCAGCAATATGACCATGCCGCCGGCCGGCGGCATCCGATGATTATGCCACCCAGCGAGAGGCTGGAACGCGACGCCAGAGGGCATCCGAGTATCATGCTGGACCTTGAGATGCTGTAGCCCGATATTAGAGGGAGTGCGAGCATGATGCTGCCCCGCAGGAGGTTGGAACCTGACACTAGAGGGCACCCGAGTATCATGTTGGACCCCAGGATGCTGTAGCCCGACATTAGAGGGCATCCGAGCATCATGCTGAATCCCGGGATGTTGCATCCCAGTATTAGAGGGTATCCAAGCATGATGCCGCCCCGTAGGAGGCTGGAACCCGACACTAGGGGACATCCGAGCATCATGCTGGACCCCGGGATGCTGTAGCCCGACATTAGAGGGAGCCCAAGTATAATGATGCCCCGCAGGAGGCTGCAATCCAGCATTAGGCAACACTGTGCGGTCCCGCGGCAAACTTGCAGGTATCGGCGTTTTGTCGATGGTGCGGTTCGTCTCATCCGAGCCCCCCAAAAGGGAAGACCTTTCGCCGATAGTGTGGCCTGTCTCGTCGTCGCCAAAACGGGAAGATTGATCGCTGATGGAGTGATTGGAGTGAACTCTCTCATCATTCCCACATGATTGACTTTGACTTTGGCTGCCTTGTACGCGCTGAGTGCAAACTGGACGTGACAGCAGACACGTTCGGAGTTTGGGGGGGAGCGATTGTGAGATACTCTCAGGCCACAAAGGGTTCAACTTTCGATGGTTGTCCTCCAAGTTGCCCCTCTCCACGTCCATCAGAGACGGTTCAACTTCGTCATCTGACTCTGCGCTGTAAGTGCTTGTGGCGTCCCAGTTCGGGATTGCGTGCAAACGGCCGATGATGGGTGAACCAGTGAGGTCTTGAGATGGTTGGTCATCTAACTCCGTGCTAGACTCCGGTGAAGGTGATGGTAGAGGTGGTGGTGATGGTGATGGTAGAGGTGATGGTGATGGTGATGGTGCTGGTGGTAGAGGTGAAGGTGGTGGTGGTGGTGGTAGCGGTGAAGGTGGTAGCAGAGATGGTGGTGGAGGTGGAGGTGGAGGAGATTGGAACGATGCAAGTTGGTACGTCAGTGGGTAAGCATATGACGGCTCTGGTAGGCCACCACGATCATCACTCGAGCCTGGCTCGGAAACATTAGGGACATAATGCAGAAACCCGCCTCTCTCTAAGATTTTGAGGGTTTTTTTTGGTTTCTTTGGCTTGGGAGGCGCGGCGACCCCAGCAACCAAACCGTTTGAAGCTGGGTCGAAGAACTTGAAAGTGAGATCTGAGAACGTCGGGTTCTTGTCTGACACGCATGGTTAGCTTGAAATGAGAAGGAAAAACAGAACATACCTGCGGGCATGTGACACAACTTCAAGTTGAACTGCCAGTGGGTGTTCGGACTATGGTGAATCGCTGTCGCAGCGTGCAGACAAGGTGGTATCCCAAATGAAGTCGTTCCAACATTCTCGGCATAGAGCAATATATAATATTGTGAGTTAGTAATAGCGTGTAACAGCAGACGAGCCTCGACTCGACTTTACTGTGACCTCGCGGAGCAGAGCATGATCTTTGACATAACGTCCTCAAAGGGTAATGCTACTTATGTCTTAGTTGCGCATTGAAACTTATTAGGTATCATTTTACACTTGAATGCATACCCAATTAATATATTGGTCCTAATAACACTCATCACAGCTTACCTCGCTCTTACTTTCGCTATCATCTGACCATGTATATCCCCATACATGATACATGCCTGGTGCATGTGCCAACCCTCGTGTCGTGGCAGGTGATCAGGACTTCGAACACCCCAAGTATTGCCGGCAAACAGTAGCAACAAACGAACAATGGCGCAGTAAATGAAATAGACAACCTCGACAAGCCTCTAGTCACCTGTACCTGCTGTCGACAATAACGAGAAGATGGGGCGCCTTTCAAGATACCAGTAAGCATGGCTCATTCTCTTCTTGCTGCCTGTTGATAAAGTCGTGCATAGGTACATTTATTCTTGCTCGTTTCATCACGGGCGACGAACTCGAAGCCATCCCAATGAAGTAGATTTGAAGGCTGTCCTCGAATCTCTATGAACGAGCCTTGTAGCATGCTGCATTTGATAGTAAGCTTTTGTAAAACTTTTCGCGTCAGACCAGCTTGTTTAAGATTGCGAGAGAATGCAGGTGTTTGAAGGACTGATAATGATATCGTACTCGAATGCAAGCCATGTGCACACTTCATCAAGTTATAAGTCTGACTCCCCTGAAACTAACTGATACAAATGAGATTCTAGCTCTGTTGACTGGATAGTCAAGATTTTGTACACCAATCTGTTCTGAGAGTGTCAACTAATCTTCCTTATAGGCCTACTGACCCACTGCTTCGACCACTTACACCCAACTCGTACTGTAACCTTCTTCTACCCCAAGACTTCTTCCTCTGCGTCGCTTGCTGGTCTGGATTTCATTCTACTAGTGCTTATTGCCATCGTAACTCATTCCTCTGTTTCATTCATGTCTTTATTCTATGTATGGTTACAATCTCCATTCAAATTTATGCTATGTACTGTATACACGTAATAGTACGGACCCCTCTGGGAATGAATGACATGTGACGTATAACGTTGAGATCTCTATCTACACCATATACCATCTTTCGAGTCCTCAAATTTCTTCTCAGCCTTGCTTCGTCCCCGGTGGGCATGTACCATGCCTGAACGACGACGTGCTCGGGGGTGGGGCTGTGAAAGCATTGGCAGATGAATTAAATTGAGCGCTTGGTGGGAATGCGGTGGTTATCCCATAGGTATATGTCGAGTTCGAAGGTGGCAACATCATCATGCCGCTGGCCCCCAGACTTGGTCGCATCCAATAGTAATGTGCCCCAGGAAGAGGCTGGAATCCGACACCAGAGGGCACCCGAGCAGCATGCTGGACCCCGACATGCTGTATCCCGACATTAGAAGGAGTCCAAGTATAATGTCGCCCCATAGAAGGCTGAAATCCGACACTAGAGGGCATCCGAACATCATGCTGGACTCCGGGATGATGGATCCCGACGTAAGAGGGCATACAAGCATCATTCTGGATCGCAGGATGCTGCATCCCGATGTTAGAGGGCATCCGAGCATTATGCGGGACCTCGGGATACTGTATCCCAATATTAGAGGGAGTGCAAGCATAGTGCCGCCCCACAGGAGGTTGGAACTCGACACCAGAGGGCCTTGGAGCGTCGTGCTGAACATCGGGATGCTGTAGCCCGACATTAGAGGGAGTCCAAGTATAATGCTGCCCTGCAGGAGGCTGCGATCCAACATTAAGGAACACTGTGTGATCCTGTGGCAAACTTGCGGGTGTCGACACTTTATTGATCATGGAGTCTGTTTCATCCGAGTCCCCGAAAAGGGAAGACTCTTCGCTGATAGTGTGGTCTGTCTCGTCGTCATCAAAAAGGGAAGACTGCTCGCTGATGGAGTGGTTCGTCTTGTCCCCAAACAAAGAAGATCCTTCGTTGATGGACTCAACTCTCTCATCGTTCCCGTGTGACTTGGTCCGATAGGTCTGTTTGTCTTGTAGGTGCTGAGGGCGGACTGGACGTGACAGCAGAAACGGTTGGAGTTCGGAGGGGAGCGACTCCGAGATATTCTCAGGCCACAAAGGGTTCAACCTGTAATGACTGTCCTCCAAGTTGTCCCCCTTCACATCCGTCAGAGACGGTTGCTCATCTGACTCCGTGCTGGAAGTGCTTATAGTGCCCCAGTCCGGGATTGCGTGCAAACGGCCGATGATCATTTGTGAATCAGCAAGGTCTTGTAGTCAGGAATTGAGTAAGGCCGGAATGCAAAATGACTTTTCAGTCTTAGAAGTTAAAGATGCGGACACTGGAAAATGGCAATGCGAGCCTTTTGTAGGGTCTCGGGAAAGGTCCACATCCACAGTTTAATCAAGTGGCGCATTGTGGACCACGCGACTTGGAGTGTTCATTGTTAGGAGAATTGAGCAAACTTAATATTTTTCAACTTACTTTAGCTTCAGCTTGTGCGGAGTCTTCTTCTCGTGAAGTTCCTTTGCTGGTCCAGCAGGTTGTGGCATAAACTGCAAGGACATTGGTTTAGATGTTGTCCCGATGGAGAGTCGCTACCACACTAAGTGGACTTTTTCGGGTCTGGATCATCATATGGTCGTGACGGTAACAGATGCGCTGCTCCTACACGGCGATCGGCCTGTTCTCATGGAAGGTGAACTGCCAAGGCTGGCAGCTCGATTTCGTCATGTTCTGCGTCAGGTCTGCAATGTGGCGCAAACACATTGATATTAAAACTGACCTAGAGATGATTCAAACCATCGTAGCCTATTAATGCGTTTGGTTGCTGCCGCAGTAGATACAAAATCTAGTTGTTTGGGAGTCATGCGCAGGGCCTGTCACATATTGATGCGTGATGACAACAATTCTTCGTTTGAACTTGTTCCAGCACACCTCTGGCATTTCATCCGAGTCACGTGTGGAAGACAACCAGTAGAAGGGTGTGTGGTGTGTTACGGAGGTATCTCAACTCGAAAGGCGGTGAGTGGAATATTATTAGAGATCAAGGTGGTGCAGAACGTGAAAGAACGTACCCCAGTTTCGTGTTTTCAGATCAGATGCCGTATAGTGCCTAACGTTAACGGATCAAACTACTTGCTAACGTGGAGTTCTCAGGTCCATCATCGAACGATTTTTTGTGCCCTCTCGTAAGTTCCGCAGCTACTAATCGGTTCAGCATCGAAGGTCGGCTCATATGTACGGGTAGCATGGCTTACTGTTTCTCTTAGTACTACGTTCTCCCTGTACTGGACAGTTGCGAGGTATGTAATGAATATCACAAGAGTGGGGCGTCCTGACTCCTTACACCCTATTACAGTGTCTAAACAAGCCCTACAGGGTTGCCCACACCGATTTTGTAGTCGCCAACCTCGAGAAACTTAACCACTTATTGTGCTTCCAGACTCCAACTTGTCACGATCGTGCTCATCGCTCGTCATCATCATGAAAGTTACCTCTGCTCTCGTCCTTGCGTTCGTTGCTGGTGTGCAGGCTCAGCCCTCAGTCAATATCTCAGCACTACCCAGTGGTACTACGCCCCCGACGTAAGTACCTTTCCCCTCTTCAGCTGTCATAAGCTGCTAGAATGACTGTGATCCCTATAGCTTCACCATCCCTCCGCCCGCCTCAATGACTTTATCTTCGTTGACTTTAACCGGTCCCACTTTAACACTGCCTAGTGGCATGTCATTCGGGCCTAATACGACGACGTCCACGTCCACGTCGACGAGTGCAACCGCCAAGTCTACGGGGGCAGCAATGGCGCTGGCAGGCTCGTATGCTGACACTGAATTGGTAATGGGAGCTATAGCAGGGTTCTTCGGCGTTTTTGCCTTTCTAGTGTGAAAACTACTAGTTTATCCATGGACCATAGTGAGAACGGCCATGCGCGCCTCTTTACGATAGAGGCTATATCTAGATAGAGGAATAGACTAGTCTATGCATTGTGCTATGCTACCATTTAGCCGTGATAAGGTATACTAGTGAAAAGAATCATTTGTGTTATACATGGGCACACAACATGACTGCAAGATAAATAACAAGTTTAGCCGCCCGTTTTATGCTCGTGCCAAGGCGCGCAGAACACTTTCACGAGAGAAAATAGAATAGAAAGGCGACGTGTCCGCGCTTTTGGATTAAGTTTTCATCCCAAACAACTACGAAAATGGGTAATCAGCAACCGTTGCGAGGGATAATATGATATCATACAGTCTTGATTTCCTTAACGCTCATCTTCTGTAGCTTCGTTCCCGCGCCCTCGCCGAGCGCGGCATCCGCAAGGTCAGTTTTAACCTCCTGAAGGCGGAGCATTCTGCAAGGTTGTTGTGAGGGAGGTAGAAAGTCGGTAAGAAGATAAAAACAGTGAACCTGATTTAGCGTTCGAATAACGGAAACGGTCGACTCACCGTTCCTCTATCGTATTTTTGACAACAAGTCGCTTGACAAAAACATCTTTCTCTTGTCCCAGACGATGTACGCGGTCGTATGCTTGTGACTCGGACGCATAATTCCAGGATAGATCCAAACTATTCATCATCATAGTTTTTAGCAATTGTGATGTAAATGGTTCAAACTCTGTGACTTACTTGATGATCCGATTCGCCACAACCAGATTCAAACCTACACTACCACACTTCGTGCTGATGAGGATGACCTTGGGTCCATCAGGTCGTTTGAATGTCGCAAGAGTATTATCCCGCGATATCCGGTTCATGGAACCATCATATCGCAGGCTGCGGATCCCATATCGCGAGAATAGCGTTTCGATGAGGTCAAGCATCGAGGTCCCTGTGTGATACTGTGTCAATAATAACTTGTAGAATTTGAAGTACGAACACTGTGAATAGCAGATTGTCTTGTCCCCGCTCTCGTCCCATGACTTGAGGAAATTGATGAGGGCGAGCATCTTCGTACTTGGTTCCAGGTCGTAATCACCTTTTCGCCACATGGCAATAAGTGCGTCGGAAGGGGCGCCAGAGTCTTCCAAATTTGCCTTCTCTGCACTTTGCGATGGAGGTTTCTCTTCGTCGTCCCTCATGGGTGCTTTCCCTTTTCCATAATCATAGTGCTTCTTCGAGGACCGCACGGCATGCCCACTCCCGAGCTCAATGTCGGAATCATCAAGGTAGTCCGACACATCACCCACAGTCAAGTCAAGTACTTCGTCCTGTAGTACACACTGCATAGTCAAACCCAGCACCAACAAAGACAAAAATTATGCTCACGTTGCCAGACTGCTGGCGCGATCGTTTATTCCCCGCTGCCTTCTTATCCTTCTTCTTGAGTTTTCCTCCATTCGCGAATAGCTGTGAGAAGTCTGGCATATCGTCGTCGGAGCTGTCGACCTCTGGCGTCGCACCCCTGAAGCGTGAAGGCACAGATAACTCGATTTCCGAATCTGAGTCAGATGACTCTCACTTGAAACTGTACCCTGCTTCTCTTGCACAACCCGGCGAGCGTGCTTACGAGCGCGATTTGCCTCCTCGACTTCATCCTCCTCTGGCTGGAATGCAATGGACTTGAACACCTTCGTTGGGTCGTTCATCTTCTTGCACGTAGGGCCTGCGCGAATGAGCGAGAGTACAGCGTAACAAAGAAAAGAGGGATACGCACAAGGCCGGTGACCTTTCGCAGCAGCAGCTTCATACTCACGTTCGGCACGGAGATTTTCTTTCTCATTTCCATGACCACTGGGTAATGGTTTAGATGTAAAAGAAGGAGTAGTACTTAGAAGCTTACAATTCTCCGTCATGGGTAATCGGCGAATTTGAAAGTATGAGCATACAATCTAGAGAAACAAGAACGCGATCAAAACACAACGACGATGGTATGATGAGGGTCCACTGACCAAAGCAAATCTCATGGCCACAGGTAAGGACACGACCAGCGTTGTTGACGTACACTTTCGCATACATGTGAGGCTTGAGCATCAATCTAGTGAGACACGAGTACATACGATCTTTGCAGACAGGACATGTTGCGTCTGCGCCCTCCTCATCCGAGAATGCGAGTAGATTACTCTCTAGCGCGCGTGTCATGAACCTGAGTGTAGCAATTTGTTAGCTTCTTTACCTGTCATACAATAGAGTACAACTGAACCTCTTCTTGATCTGTGGGCAGGTAGTTTAATACTAGTCATGGGTAGATTAACAGTACTCACATCGCCAACCCAGGTCGGCCCCATGACTCGGATTGCTCGCGCAAACTCCTTTCCCTTGTCATCGGACATGAGTATGGAGGGGTCCTCGTGCTCTTCTGTGTGACACTGTGGGGTGTGTTAATTCACCTATGTGATCGGAGAACAAAAGACGCACCAGGATTAAGTTCGGATGACAACACAGCTGCCGAAGCCGTAGGATCATCGCCTATAAAATGTATTAGAAATGACCACAAGAATGCAAATGCAAAGAAGTACCAAGATATAAGTTGCACTAAGATAGAAACTGCATTTAGAAAATATAACGCAAAAATAACTGAGTGCATACTTCTTCAACAACGTCCCTCTTTTGATGAAGCGATTGATTTGAACGTGGCTTTTCTTTTCGAAATCATCATATAGCTGTGAGATATGAGTATGTGAAATGTCAGAGTACCCAATCAACGTACCTGTTGCTCATCTGCTGAGAATTCAAGAGTCACGAGCTCAATGTTTTTCGGGGGCAGCTGAAGAATGAGCTTTCCTTCCTATAAAACTCGTGAGTGAGAATACAGGAATAAGATATCCTATTAGTGATTTACCAATCTAGCTTGTTTCGTGCGGCGAAGCAACAGGGGCTTCAGAATCTCCTGCGCTCGCATTGCTGTATGATTGAGCCCAATAACTACATCAGACAGGCAGTTTACTCACCCGCAAGCGGCGCATCCTCTTGCTGCACCTTTGCCTAAACGAAGATGAGAAGCAGGACGTGCAAAAGGCGAAGGAACGCACAATATATTGTTTAAACGACTCCCAGTCATTCCAAGGGCGAAAACGCCCAAAGCGAATAAGCCCATATATGTCAGCACTGGGAGTAGTTGGGTAACTAAGAAATGCCGTGAAAAATTGGACATACAGTGTATTCGTGACAGGTGTGCCTGTAAGCATCCACCTATAAGTCGAACGGAGTAGAGCTACACTGCGGCTAGCGTGCGTTCCTCTGTTGGGAATGTCAAATGACTCAATAAATGAAACAATGCTGAACATACCTGTTTCGAATAAATTGGGCCTCATCTAAAATCACACGATACCATCTCATGCGACCAAGTACCCCTCTGCAAGGTAGCTGAAGGGGTCGACTTAGTACAAATAATGTGTTACCTACCCGTGGTCCTCAAGATATGCCAGTTCATCGCCTTCTTCGGTGTCTTTTGGAATAGTAAGCTCCGTGCTCAGGGTTTGATATGTAGTGATGATGACCTAACGATACCTCAGTCACTTTGCGAAGCTGTGATGATTCGAATGACATACGTCTTTAGATCTGACATCCATCAGGGTAGAAAGCTTATCCCGTCCATGATGTATATGAACGGTAAATAAGTCATTCGACTTCGTCTCGATTTCCTCCTTCCACTGACAATGGCGTTAACGTGGTCAAAACCGATCAAGGAAAACAAACAAACCTGTTGAAGGAGCGCAGCGGGAACGACGACGAGCGTGGTCTTCACAACATCAGTGTCCCTGGGCAAATTGGCTGCCATTGTGGCAATCATTTGGACAGTCTTGCCTGAAGTAGAATATTTCGTTACAGATGCATGTTGACGAAGTTAAATTAACTGACCAAGACCCATTTCATCTCTGAGTCAAGTCAATATCATTAAGGTGCATGGGTTGAAGACAAAATAAAAACACTTACGCTAAGATACCACCCCTGTAAGGGGACTTTTTTTCTTGGTCCACCATCCTGTGCTCTGAAATTGATATATGCACAGAAACCTATATATTAATACTCGTACCAGTTGACACCGATGAGCTGGTGAGGTAAAAGCCGTACTTCGAGACCGGGGAGGAGATCCTTGTCACTATACGACCTCAGTACAACTATTGCGAATATCATTTTGAATGCACCACGCACCTCTGAAGACCGAGGTTTCGGATGGCATCCTTAACAGACCGTCTATCTCCAAGGTTTTCAATAGAGTTATATACAAATTCTGCCAATCTTATACATGTGTCAGCGACGAGTGATGTTTCACTGCTCAGACAATGTACCTCTGTTCTTGATCAGGGCCTCCTTGATCAATGCGAGTAGCAGGAGTTTCGCTGTCGTATCTCAGAGAGAAGCCGGATGTAATGAGCTTGCTTTGAATATTGTTCTTGGTTCTTGATTGAGATCTGCCAGCTCTAGATGAAGCACCTTGTAACGAAGCGCCAGCTGCAGTCGAGTCGTGAGATGATAATACCGGATACCTGCAGTTCTCTTACTCGCATGCACAGGCTTGTTGAATTGTGAGTGTGGTCCATGAATCGTTGAATCGACGTCTGGGAGAGTTTGTGCTCTCCTCACTGGCGACACAGGAAAGGTATTTGACTCGGATTTACGCTTGCCGAGAATTTGGGATGTTTGGATGATGGTATGAGAATTTGAGGAAGACGGCATGGAGTAATCCAGCGCAGCCAGGACGCGTGATGTGCTCTTGTGGGTGCTCTTGGATATATCATCCATCTTCGAATATGGCTGGGATAGATGAGCGGCAGCACTTGAAGTATACTAGGTACAGCAACTTGAATTAATTAAACACGGCGTTGCCAAAGAACGCCAAACAAACTCTAAAACATACACGGGAGCAATTCAGAATATATTCGTGGCTGAGCGGACCAAGTTGAAAGTACTTGGTTGTCTCGGATGCGCATCTTCACGCTATTTGTTTCCCTGCTAGCGGAAAGACAAGTTTGCACGATAGGTCACCATTCAGCCAAACGAAAGCAAGGCGGCCTTCCGTGACGGACAACAATGGTTTTTAGCATGTGCTCTGAGCTCTCGTATCTCGCCGAGGCACGCGAGATTGATACGCCAATGTGTGTAGAACTGATCGTGTTCTTCTGGTCGGATACACCGTGTTTGACCTCCTCCCACTTGCCTTTTGCAAACCTTGCCATTCCTGCTTACCCTGGCAGTCCATACCCATCTCATCGTTGCCCCTTCCTGAACCTCAAAGCAGTTCCTCCTAGTACACACGCATGTCTCATTGGTGACATTGTGCAGTAGGCTGACGCGCCTGGGCTCAAAACATTGTTCAACTAGTAGGGACAGCCACACTTCGTATCCATACTTGTTGAACGTTGAATACCAGGCCAATGATCCCTGCGCTGCTCGTAGTAGAGGTAATATACCATGTCACATGTGCCAGCGGAAATGCAAAATTTGCAGAATATCAACTCCACGATTGCACACATAACTGAGTGGCCAAATGGAGTGGCCACAGGCTGAAGCGCTGAAGAAGGGCGATGATCAGCATTCCTGCCGAGGAGCGACAGCTGTTGGTACTGTATTAGAAAAGTTGCAAGTACTTGAAGTAAAGGCCAACTTGGTGCCAGCCGATGCGTGTGAAACTTGGCAGTCGGCAAGTGAGGTATTTTTGAAGCTGAAGCTAAAGCGGCTTCTATTAGCTTCTAGCCCAAGTATAAGTTGTACTTTCTCATCCCCTCCAACTTGCTCCAAGACCACGTCTACAAGGTACTGAGCTGCACCTTTCACGGTCCGACCTTCGAAGTGTAGATTTGATCTGACTGGTAAAATCTCCTCTTGGTTCTAATGTACTGCAGCGCTTGGCTAGAATTTCTGATGAGCTACATACTAAGAGCTACAACACTGCCAGTGGTACAGCTCGCCCAAGAGCTTTTGTACCTTATATTGTCACCTCTCGACGCGTATGACCTAGTACGGGTACGACAGGTAAGCGAACACATCATTCGTCTTACTCTACTCACCAGCCATACTAGACGTGCAAAGCGCTGAAAGCAATAATCGACAATTCAGAGATGCTGCAGTATATGATCGACCTCAGCTATTTCCAAATGATTCCAATGGGAACCTCTGAAATAGACATGCCGCCAGCTACACGCCGCAAGCGACTTTGACAGCATGACGCTGCATGGCAGCGCTTCGAGTACAAGCAGAAGTACACGCTCCCCCCAGTGATGCTGGAAACTACACTTGGATTTCCGGGTAGTGTATATTATTATTATTGGGGAGGATTGCGTCCCATTTACGCGTCTACCATCCGCGACTGATTCCAACGATCTACATTACTGGAGCTGCCCTGTCGACACCACAACCTCGGTGGACTTCACTTTCTGTGCTGTGCAAGATCTACTTGTCGTGGTGGCATATTCGCTAGACCCGTGAGCGTTTACAGTCTTTCGCCCAGTTTATTTTCAGGCTGAACTGCGCTGGAAGCCGGACTCATACGGACGATATCCATCTGAGATCTCTGACAACGAACGAGATCCACGCCGATGCAGCGCAACCAATCCTGAAAACAGTCGACAAAGACTGCGAAATAGTCCAATCCACCAATCAATGGAACGTCAGAATCATGGGGAACTACATTAGTATGCTGCAGCATGCTATGGTGAATGAGGGCACGGTTGGGGACTAGATACAAATGTGGGACTGGAAATCCAAGAACAATGGTTACCAGGTAAATCAAAGTACTGTCACAAGCTAGAATGACTAGAGGCTTGTTTACACCACAGTTCGTTCTCCGGTTTCACAATGGTATCAACGACCACTCCTTCATTGAAAAGGAGAATTTCCTCGTTCTCGAGTGCCGCGGGACCATGGAGATATATTGCGTTGCCGACAAATCAAATCCCCCTCAATGCACCGCGAAACTCTCTTTACCTTCTCTCATGGATCATGTTCCATACACAGGGGCAGTCACGGACGTAAATATAATTCCCACCTCCATGCTTCCATATTCTCAAAAGTCCTACCAACCTACATGCTCATTTCACCCCAGTACGAACGATCAACTCGTAGCCATTCGTGTCTCTGTCACTGGGACAATGGGTCTAACTCGCCCAATCGATTCCCGCTGCTATAGCTTCTTTATGCTGCGCAGTGCCATTGTGGAATTCGAAAACGTATTCGTCGAGACTTATGGTCAACCGACCTTGAATGATCCCAAGTTACTTTGGTGAACGTGGGGGCCGCAGCATACGTCGTGGTTCCGGGTTCAAAGGGATGAGGACTGGCGGTCTTCGCTCTGTGGTTTCCGTGTTGTTGAGCCCATCAACGACTCTTCTCGAGTGTCACGCATGCCCCAACGGTTACGCATCAGAATTTCAATCCACACATCGCTCGAAATTATCACGCAGAAGACAAATCAGGCTGGCTTGGTCAATTTGTCGAAGGCGAGCTGACTAGTACCATTTCTTGCCTATTTATGGAACCGCTAGGATCTGCGTTACCTTATCGTGAGATCGTTAACGAGGAGTTGTTTAATTTTGATGGACGAAAGTAGAATTATGCTATTCAAAGTGGGTTGCAACTTATATTTACCAATTCCTTCTGCTTACGACGAAGTGTGGTAGATAAATCTGAAGAATTACAACAAATCAACACACTGGTATTCTGACCACGCCTCGGGAGGTGTGACCCTCACGCGCCGCTTGTTTCTGTCTTTAATCATCGACCGCGTTAACATGGGTTTTTCGGGTTTTTCACCGAGATCAGGTAGTGACGCCGCACGAGATCACAATCATCTGTGGAAAGCGATTTCTTCATCATATGCTCGTTATATGTCGTGGAACAAATATTTAATCTTGTGGAACGCTAATGCACTCCGATACTGGCGAGATACTCTGCACGTGTTGACTATGTGCATCCCATGGTTCTTGGCGACTTCTCGACATAAACTATTCTGCATAAGTAGGCGAGGTGCGTGAGTGGTTTTGCAGGTCTGGGCGTAGTGTATGCACGGCATGATTGTGGGAGTGAAAAGACAACGCGAACCCTCCTGTTGCGGTAACCTGCATCAAATTTCAAATTTCGTGGGCTAATATTAATCAGTGTGTCATATACTAGTCCAAAGTTTCGATGTACACAGCGCAGCTGGACAACATGTGTAGTGCAAGGTTGGGATATCCGATTGGTGGCTAACCAAAACATGCGACTGGTAAAACGTGGTGCGTATATGTCCAAGGCTATTATGTGCAAAGTCTCATATACATCAAATCGAAGGATCGCATCAACAGATCCTCCGCGCAGAGGTGACTTGTACACGGAGAGATCCTAATGCAATGCCACGGTCATCCGATTCCAGAATCTTCAGAAACGTGTCACGATTTCGATCTTCAGTGGGGAAGAGTCGGAAGCATGATATTCTGTTCACTGCATCCGAAAGAAGGTCCCACTGACACAGTACAAATCCTGCAAGGCGGTTCGCAATCCCGACCTCTCAATCACCCTGGATTAATGAAGGCTATGAGGGCGAAGCACGCCCGATGTAGCTTCTGGCCCAACTGCATAGAACAGCACGGACCACTAGCCGATTAGCCAGCCTTGGAGTGAGATATGACACATTCCATCAGAAAGAATGCATCACATAATAACACATACCGATTCAGACGAGAGGTATGCTGTTATCGGAAAGCAACGCTTGAGCAGTCGTTTGCTCGCGATGATAACTGCAAGATATGCAATCTGTGTGCAAACTCCTCGCAGCCAATTATGATGATCTGTAGCACCGAAACCTGTCTTCAGATCGATCCCGGAGCTATTTCCACGCAGAACATGAGACAAAAAATCACAACTTGTCGGTGCAATAGGCTCACAAGCCTCCACAGACTGCGCTCTACGGAATGCTCGACATTCACATTCAACATGATGTTTTGCCAACTCACCGAACTCACCGATTCTTTCCTGTTTGTGATTAGCGCAAATATAATTCAAAGACTCGTATCGCTCATAGCCAAAGTTTGACCAGGTGAGATTATCCTGGTAGAGCAACTAATATTAAGGTGTGCCTAAAGTACTGCACGATTAATGCATAGATGAGTATTGTTCAAAGCCGGGAAAACCACTGTTGGCGAGTACGATCGAAGTGACAATTTACAAGGAGTCCGAACACAAACCTCATTAAATTAAATCTGGTAAACCGAAACAAAACAACAGGGATTGCAGAAGTTGTCCGTGAGAATATAAACCAAACGAAAGGATATGTCAGGCAGTAGACTCTATACTACCTTCCCCGTCGCCATCGACTATCATCTTCTGCTTCTCTTCTGGATCTAACCAGCTATCCTCCACTGTAGCTTTCACCCTTCTCACGTACTCCTTCATGTTGTCTCGGTACAATTGCGCAGCCTCTGCATTTGCTGGGCTGTTCGGATTAGGATCGTGCAGGAGACTCTGGATGGAAGTAAGGATGGCGGCGACATCATATGTGGGAGACCAGCGGTTTTGTAGAATGTCCAGACAGAGCTCGCCATTGTTATATACATTTGGATGGAACATTCTGGAAAGAAATTTCACTGTAGGCGGCTTGTTGGGGTAAGATTCATCAAACGTGAGCAGAAGTTTGAATGTGCCATCCTCAAAGGGTGTATCAGCTGTGAGTAGTGTCAGAGAAGGATAGCTATATACAGAGATAGAAAACTGACAAGGCCCAAATATTACAGCGTTCCAGATCATGATGTTATCCGGACATGGACTTCCAGAAATGCCGCTTGGCGGGTCACTAGAGAGCCGTTTGAAGTCACGGATAAGCCGTCTCCTGCAGGTGGTAGACTATTGAAATCATAAGCGGCAAAGACAATTGGGTTTGATGCTCGCATACCATGTTATCTGGCTGGCTTGTATTTGATTAAAACAGAGGTAAGAATTGCGAGAGAACTAGAAGTACAGGATCAAGAGGGTTCGCAAGGCCACACCCGGTCCGCTGCTAGCCTCAAGCGAATGCTTACAAAGCACGCCACAATCGGCAATTAGAAAATTCAAACATTTCTCCCCTAATTCTCAGCATCCCTGCAGTCCATCGATGTCTTCGGGCCTGTTTAGCAGTCTCCCTTCCATTCCACCCTCCACCATCACCACTTGTCCAGTGACGTGACCAGAAAGAGTAGACGATGCAAGAACCACAATCTGTGTCGCGATGTCCATTGGCATCGCCACTTTCTCAAGTGGAACCCTGCGGTGGCACGACATTCATCACCAATTAATCAACAATGAATCAAATGGTATTGCTTACGTAGCCAATATACGAGACATTGTTTGAGGATCCTTCAAGATGTCTTCAACCATACGCGTCTTGACCCAGCCAGGTGCAATACAGTTGACTCTGCCTTTGGGGGCTATCTTCACGATCTCATTCTTCAGCGTCAGGTTCAAACCATACATCATTGCTAGAATATCGTGAGTCCATGTCAAAAGTGCTGACAGAAACCATTACTGACCACTCTTAGTCGCAGCGTAGTCTCCGTTGTTGGCTTCACCATACTTCCCAGCAGTACTTCCGACAAGAATAATTGCTGCCTTTTCCTTGATATCCGAGGAAGCCCTTTCCAGATGCTTCAAATACTCTCTGCACACAAGGAATGAAGATGTCAAATTCACAGTCATTGTAGTGTTCCATTGATCCAGCGTCATCCTTGCAATGGGCACAGCTAAACTGTGAGATATAGCGTGATTGATGACGACTACTTGCACGGGACCATGAGGCATAGTAGAGAGCGATTTGAACATGGTTACCACGGCCTGTTCTTCAGACAGATTCGCCTGGACGTGTTGAAGATTGGTGTTCGACGCCAAAAGTTCATGTATCGGACCAAATGGCGAGTTATAATGTGCGGTCACATTTGCACCAAGTGCTGGATGCTCTCAACTCAGTGCTCAGATATCTTTTTGGGGATGACTTACTACAAAATAATTTCACAGTCTCGAGCCCGATGCCGCCACTTGCCCCTGTGTAAGTAGTATCAGATCAGCACTCACATGGTAAAGGGACACAATTGCAACCTGTAACAAGGACATGCACTCCCTTCAATCCAAGATCCATGGCAGATGATGATAACCAAGCTGATCAAAGCTTCAGCTTCAAGCTTAAGAATGTTCAGGTGTGATCACTACCTGTGTGAAAATATCGAAACGGATCAGGGATATAGTGGTCACCCGGTCGGAACTCCTCCAAAGAGCACACTCATATTAATACTGTCAACGGTCGGCGCCCTCCTCGTCAGTGCCACTTCCGATGATAAGACTATCAATCTTTGGGCCTTCAAGCTTCAAGTCCCAACAGCGATGGCATTGCCAAAACTCTTATATCCTCACCCCGATTCAACCGACTCACTTCAACTAGCTTACACGTTCTACGATACAAATGATCCCAATACCTATATATGCATCATCACCTCCGCTCTGCTTAAGGCTATCGCGAAAGTACGGTTCACTCTCCCCGAAGTATGCATTCATTCACATGAAATCATCTTCTCTGGATTAACCCGTTGGGATTCGCTGTAACACAAAGATGCTCCAAGGGTTGAACTTGAATGAAACTACAGTTACATACTTGAATGACTCGATATACGTACGAACGCATAGGTTACTGTCGACCGACATTGAGGTGGACCCACGTTGCATTGGGGAAGAGCCTGTGAACCGATCAACGGTATGCAGTCTGGTTGCGCCGGGTCACGAGATTTTGGAAACGGGTCTAGTTTATGAAGTGTCAATGTATTCGGAAGCAATTCTCTTGTTCATCAGAGACAGACAAAAACAGAGGCTGCAAAATCGTGCCATCTAGTGCACTTTGCGCCGTATCATATGTCAGACCACCTCAAGTACAAACTAAGTCTACCTCGAATTCATTATCGCTCGGATGTGTGCTTCTCTCGTCGTATTCACGACTTCAAAGGAGAAGTGAAATGGTTCAGGGTGACTTCGGCAGAGTCAGTCGCAGGTTATTGAATGCATACTAGATCACTTACATCGCTAAGCCAGTGGTGTACTCCTGCTTCACCTCAATCTTGTCTCCGTTTGAGTCTTTGGCATGATCGATGCGCAAGACGGCGAGTATGGTCGCAAATGCAGTCCACAGACTGTTCTCTGCAAACCAACGACCTGCCAAGGCCATTTGTCATCCTTGACACTGCCAGATCAGCTATGAATCAACCTACCAGGACAAATACGCCTGCAAGGGTAAGTAGATGATTGAAGATGACAGTAAGGATGGAGTATTCACCTGCCATGACCAAAGGCAAAATGGTTGACGAAAGGGTTCTTGAGCTTCCCATCGACGGTCAGATGGCGGCTAGGATCGAAGCGTGATGCATCGGGAAATATGTCTTCATCCCGAGACAGCGCCCTGAGCAATGCTCAGCTCAAACCAATACGTGCACCCAAACCCGACATACCACTGATTAACCATGATTAATGCACCTGGCCGAACTGCAGGTGAGTCAATGGCAACCTCGACTCTTACGACTTCGAACCTTTGGGTATAAAGTGCCCGTCGTAAACATCATCGTTTGATGTCGCATGTGCGAATCCTGTGCGAAGGGTCAGCCATGCAAACGCAAAACTATATTACCACCAGCTAACCTAGGGGGGCGGGAGGATACCATCTCAGGACCTCGTAGAGAATGGCATCAAGGTAGGGCAGTGACGCCCTGTCATCAAGGCACGGCATGCTGTCATGCCTCACAGCTTGGTCAATTTCTGCACGAGCACGGGATTGGACGTCAGGATGGAGCAGCATAGCCAGCAGGAATGTCTGCAATATGGATGCAGTCTGCGGGACATCAAAGTAAGAATTAGAAATGTTTCAAGTAATTAAGTAGCGACTCACGGTTTCCATGCCAGCTAAGATGGCGTATTCCCGTCAATAGATGAGCTCCGTCTTGGTGAAAACAAATTCTTACCCATGTATCCCATCAATGCAACAGCCTTTAGGATGTCTTCGTCGGTGTCGTCGTGAGCTTGACTGAGAAAGTCAGCAACTGATGAGTGCGAAGCAGTACCATCTGCCTTCACGCAAACAGATCAGGCGAAACTTTCATCCGCAAGTCTGCGCGAACGTACTATCTGTGCCTTCACTTCATTAAAGGGCTCGTCAAAAAGTTGTTGACTTAATTCTTTACAACGTCCCATCAGGGCAAACGATCCACCAAAGCACCAAAACGGCAACTTTTCGACTGCAACCTTATGTTGAATGTTCAAGATGATGTCGTCGACAGAGGTACTCACGGAAAGGAAAGGCTGTGAACATGGCAGCCTTCTCAGGAGAGAGAATCTGTTTTCCAATATCAAGTATTTCGTGCGCACGGGAAAGAAATAAGCCTTCATCAGCGAGATGTCCGTATGTCACGGCCATGATCAGGGATCCCGAATATCTGTGACGAGGATTGATCGTCAACTGGACCATACATCACAACGACATCACTGGATTAGGTACGAACACTTCAGTGCGTTGCTGCAGTGAGTCACTAGTGGCACCTAAGAGATCGATGACTAGTTCATTCGCATGGCGAGAGTATATCTCGTGGTACGAGACTGAGACCTCGGCCCTAAGGACTTGATGGTATATCTTGCGATGTTGTCGTAAAGTCTCCCCATACGGAAGCAGTACAGAATTGTAAGCCAGTCCAGCTCTGTATCGTCAGTAGATGAAGAACGAATTGAATGGAAACCGGTAATGCATACAATTCAGTGGTGCGAAAAACGGGACGTGTAGAGTAATTTGCAGAACGCTTTTCCAGCAACTCCTGGGCGATGGTTTCTGAGTTTATGATGATCATGTCGATCCCAAGTATGCGGGAGCGGAAGATTTTTCCTACGATCAGGCATGAAGTTAAATCCAGGAGCTTGGCAAAGAGCTTGGTCTACTAGTACCAACCATATGTCTTTCCCCACGCAGTATATGTGAGCCAAGGACGTTTAGTATCTAATTGCAGCGCGTTACCCAAAAATGGTAAGGGACGAGGACCAGGTAGCAGAGGGAAAGGGTAGACACGTCTGCGAGAAGTCAGACGCAAAGTGACAAGCAGGGCAACAATGCACGATATCCCTAGAGTGATAAGCATAGGAAGAGATTGTGGTTGAGCGCAAGGCATGCTGCAAGTTATTAGTTGGTCTTCCCCGACTCTACGGAGGGTTTGTCAATGTCAGATCAAATTGTCCGGGCACACGGTATTTTCTCATGCGCGCAGCCTTTTTCGTCTAGTGGCACCCTCCCACGTCTTCCGGTCTTTTTGTCAAAGAAAAATCTTGTTTAGTGTCTGCTTGGGATCCAACTCTTCTAAAGACTAAGTCAGATAATGGCAGCGAGCTGCCACTACGATATCATATTTGCAGCTTGGTTCTTCGTCTACATGATGTGGAACACATCATGTACCGGCCATCGGTCTAATTTACGTAGTCCTTAGTATATTTGTTCAAGGCCTGCGATCTAGTCTACACTTGGGGTGACAGCATGACGGGTTTGTGACGGGTCGCCCATATATAGAGGCTTACTCAGGCAATTCCGGAGGATTCGAAGAGAGACTGACTTACAATATAAATGAATGATCATCATTGCAACCAATTGCAACACAACGACATATCCGATCCGTATCGAGTGGACAGTGCCAGGAAACCGAATACGAAAGCATGCGACTATGCACTTAGCTTTCGAGTCAAATGACACCACCAAGACAATCTACGAACTCGATGCTCCAGCCACCAACTAGTATGACGGACACAAGCGGACAACAATATTCACTTGATTTCTTTTGATTCTTTATGCGCCAGATGTCGAGGCAGCTAAGGTGACTTTGTTACTGACATTGCACCAATACGCTGACATTTGCGCAAGAACCTGACGTTGCAGACCGTTGTTTCGATACTGAATAGCACGAAATTCTCAGAGATAAACAACGTCGTGAAAGTACTCTCCCAGGATGCTCAGGGCATTCTGATGAAGTAGCTTTACAAGGGTACTATGGAGATGCCGGGCTGGGGTGATGTAAGTGGCAGCGTGCTCTTGGGGTGGCATGAGAAGGTGTGTCTAAAGCTCTTTTCCATAGAAATTTTCTGACCATAAATTTGCAGCTGACAGAAGTTGCCGGCACTGACTGTTACCCAACGGACAGGCAGAGTGGACTGACGGGTCGCCGATTGGTTAATTTACTTACCCATGGCATCGAATCTCAGGTAATCACCACCTGGACAATTTGTGTCTTATCGCTGTGTCCATGCGCAACCTTATGAGATCGATTCCGCTCCCGTAAGCATAGCATGAGGGTGCCTGGGCTGTCAATGGACGCCTCTAAGCTTCAACCCCAGGATTCAACGTCCAGATGCGGGCCCATCGGGTCTGTCTCGTCAGTCAGGGTGATTACAACACTCCAGAGCGAACTTTAATGGTATGCAGCTTGGTTGTGCCAGTTCACGAGATGTTGGAAACTGGTTTATGAAGTGTCAATGTATTCGAAAGCAATCTTCTTGTTCATCAAAGACAGGCCGTAAAACCGTGCCATCCAGTACAGTTTGCACCATATCATATGTCATACCACCTCAAGTACAAACTAAGTCTACCTCGAATTCATCATCGCTCGGATGTGTGCTTCTCTCGTTGTGTTCACGACTTCAAAGGAGAAGTGAAATGGTTCAGGGTGACTTCAGCAGAGTCAGTCGCAAGTTATTGGATGCATACTGGGTCACTTACATAACTAAACCAGTGATGAACTCCGGCTTCACATCAATCCTGTCTCCGTTTGAGTCTTTAGCATGATCGATGCGCAAGACGGCGAGTATGGCAGCAGCTGCACTCCACAGACCGTTATCTGCAAACCAACGACCTGCCAAAGGCATTTGTCATAACACTGTCAAATTAGCCATGAATCAGCTTACCAGGACAAATACGCCTGCAAGGGTCAGTGGATAATTGAAGATGATAGTAAGGTTGGAATATTCACCTGCCATGACCAAAGGCAAAATGGGTGACGACAGTGCCCTTCAGTTTCCCATCGACGGTCAGATGGCGGCTAGGATCGAAGCGTGATGCATCGGGAAATATGTCTTCATCTCGAGACAGTGCCCTGAGCAATGCTCAGTTCAACCCATTACATGCACTCAAGCGCGACATACCACTGATTAACCATTACTATCGCACCTGATCAAACTACATATGAGTCAACGATAACCTTGATTCGTACGACTTCGAACCTTTGGGTATAAAGTGCCCGTCATAAACATCATCATTTGATGTCGCATGTGCGACGCCTGTGCAAGGGGTCAGCCATGCAAAGACGAAACTATATTACCACCAGCTAACCTAGGGGGGCGGGAGGATACCATCTCAGGACCTCGTAGAGAATGGCATCAAGGTAGGGCAGTGACGCCCTGTCATCAAGGCATGGCATGCTGTCATGCCCCACAGCTTGGTCAATTTCTGCACGAGCACGGGATTGGACGTCAGGATAGAGCATCATAGCCAGCAGAAATGCCTGCAATACGGATGCAGTCTGGGAGACATCAAAGTAAGAATCAGAAATGTTTCAAGTCAGTAGCGACTCACGGTTTCCATGCCAGCTAAGATGTTGTATTCCCGTCAATGGATGAACTCTGTCCTGATGAAAACAAACTCTTACCCATGTATCCTGTCAACGCAACAGCCTTCATCATGTCTTCGCCAGTATCATCGTGAGCTTGACTGAGAAAGTCGGTGACTGATGAGTGCGAAGCAGTACCATCTGCCTTCACACAAACGGATCAGGCGAAATTTCCAATCACAAGTCTGCGTGAACGTACTATCTGTGCCTTCACTTCGTTAAAGGGCTCGTTCAAAAGTTGTTCACATAATTCTCTGGAACGTCCTATCAGGGCAAATGCTCCACCAAAGCACCAAAATGGCAACTTTTCGACTGCAACCTCATGCTGAATGTTCCAGATCATGTCGTCGACAGAGGCGCTCACGGAAAGGGAAGGCTGTGAACATGGCAGCCTTCTCGGGAGTGATAGTCTGTTTGACGATATCAAGTATTTCGTGCGCACGGGAAAGAAGTGAGCCTTCATTAGCAAGGTGTCCGTATGTCACGGTCATGATCAGGGATCCCGAATATCTGCCACAAGAATTGATCGTCAACTGGACCATACGTCACAACGACATCATTAGATTGGGGTACGAACGCTTCAGTGTGTTGCTGCAGTGAGTCCCTAGTGGCACCTAGGAGATCGACAACTAGTTCATTTGCATGGCGAGAGTATATCTCGTGGTACGAGATTGAAACTTCGGCCCTAAGGACTTGATGGTATATCTTGCGATGTTGTCGCAAAGTCTCCCCATACGGAAGCATCACAGAATTGAAACCCATTCCAATTCTACATCAGCAGGGAATAAAAAACAAATTGAATGAAGACCGGCAATACATACAATTCGTTGGTGCGAACAACCGGACGGGTAGAGTAATTCGCAGAACGATTTTCCAGCAACTCATGCGCGATGGTTTCGGAGTTTATGATGATCATGTCGATCCCAAGTATGCGGGAACGGAAGATTTTTCCTGCGGTCAGGCATGAAGTTAAATCCAGGAGCTTGGAAAAGAGCCTGGTCTACTACCAACCATATGTCTTTCCCCACGCAGTATATGTGAGCCAAGGGCGTTCAGTATCCAATTGCAGCGCATTACCCAAAAATGGTAAGGGACGAGGACCAGGTAGCAGAGGGAAAGGGTAGACACGTCTGCGAGAAGTCAGATGCAAAGTGACAAGCAGGGCAACAATGCACGATATCCCTAGAGTGATAAGCATGGGAAGAGATTGTGGTTGAGCGCAAGGCATGCTGCAAGTTAGTCCATCTTATCATATTGGCAGCTTGCTGCGCTATACTAGTACTTCATGTGAAAAACTGACGGTTTCAATATCAAGAGGATGATAGAAGCTTAGTACTTAGTCAGGATATGCAAAACAAAGTACAACGTACAACGTTCAGCGCTCAGCCACCAAGACAATCTACGAACTCGATACTGAAGAATTTCGCACCACCAACTAGCCTACACCAAGTGGAAATGACTTTGTGTCATTATGAATAGCCCTCAAGATGTACATACCAGGACGCCGCCATGCTAGCGCTAGCTCAAGTGAAGCTTTTCAAGTCCGCGGTGATAGTAGGTACCGTGAGAAATTCGCGTAGAAGTTGAATGGAATATTTTCACCTTCTCTCAGCTTCAGTTGCAATAAGGCCAGACAATGGACGCCTTTTCTATCATTGTAAATGCATCTGCGACGTCTCTCCATATTTCCCTTCTCGCCATCGCTTTTAACCCAACAGCTTGGAACATTGTGGCCCGGAATGGTGAAGGAATCTGTAACTTGTACCCAACTCGTATTAACACGTGTTTACATCTTGCAGAGTACGAAAACAAGACGATTACTCGCATCTTTGGTGGTAATGCTCGCTATGGATGCTACTTTCTAGCTATCATGATATTTTTATTTGGGATGCTTCGTGATCACTTGTATGTTGAAGATAAACGATAGCTCTGGTAGACGTTGCTAACATCCGGCAGATATCAGCGCGCTTTGAGCGACCAGCCTCGAGTTCCTATGCTCTCTGCGCCATATGACATTCTGATACCAGTTTTTCTGTTTGCCATCGGCCAGCTGTTTGTTATCACTTCCACTTGGGCCCTCGGAATAACTGGAACTTTCCTCGGGGACTACTTCGGTATTTTGATGGATCATCGCGTACAGGGTTTCCCGTTCAATGTCCTGAGGGATCCTATGTATGTTGGAAGTACGATGTGCTTTATTGCGACGGCCTTATGGTATTTTTTTTGGTTCTACATTTTGGCACGATCTAAATATGTTGTGCACAGGTACGAGCGGCCAGCCGGACTTCTCGTGAGTTTGTACGTGTATATCGTTTACCTGATTGCACTACGGTTTGAAGGGTAAGCTCACCACTTCGCCAATTGTGTCAGCGTTTCTGAAGGACGATGTTAGACCATTCACTGACATGATCTATTCCAAACGAGCCTCTACAAAGAAGGCGTTATGATCACGACACCCGAATGACATACGGACACGCACATTATCATTTACTTGGTCACCAATATACCATGGTAACTTGCTCTATCTGGCCAAGCTAAAATTGTGCTTTTACATAGCGTTGATAATTGATTGAATGTTAAGGTCATACAAGTTGGCGTCAAAGTTTATCATTCATCGTGCCGCCGCATGATTCCAGCGACCATTTGCCGTGATACTGGTATGAATAAATTGTCATGTCACATCTCTCATCTTTCGAATGATAAATTCTGCGGCGAATTCACCTGGCTTTCGAGTATGATTCCCAAAACCTCGCTGGATGTGTCTTACTCTTAGCTTTGGAGAATCTACGGTTCACCCAGGTCCAAGTATATGCTTCGGACCTGAAAGTTCTTACCCAACAATTATCTCTTCAAACATATAATCCGTCCGTCATTTCTTTAGCCACTGAGCCACGCTACGCATAGGGGACGGTTTGAAGAAGTATACTTATACTCTGGTTCATCTTGCGCTACGCTGGACAGACCAAGACCGCCAGAATTTCCGGAACATCATGGAATTTATATAGCTAAGCCACATGACACGCCCTGTATCGTTTTCAATAGTGCCGATGTGGCGCAATTACCATATAGTTGGGCGGTATTGTTACTTGGCACCGTTGCAAGTTCACAAATGACAATACAGATTGCTTTGCTCAGAGTTTTTGTCTTCATTCACATAGTCGCACGATACTTGACTTTGTAGATTTCGAAGTTGCGGACGCATGCAGTAATCTAAGATATTCCAAAGCTATTCAGATTCAATGTCAGATATCAGGCAATCGATTTCCAGTTCACTGTCTATGTCCGCTTGAGGATGTTGTAGTGAAAATACCAATACCTCGAGGTTTCAACGTTTCAACCTCAGACTAGTGATATAATACTTAGCTGCGTCGTAGCGTTAGTACCAAGCTGCAGGCTTAGACTTTGAAGATGAAGGGGTACTGCGTGCAGTCTTCTGAGCCTCAAGATTACTGATATTTACAACAATTTGAACACCAGTGGCTTTCAGAGGGACGTTTGCTGTGATGTGGACAGAGCCCACACTAACGATGATACAGAGACTTCCTAACCCAGTGGAGCTGGAAGGAAGTGAGATACGCTCAACACCAGCGATCTAATCGTAACTGTTTCTCGCCAGGCTCGGTGTGGGAGAAATGGAAGAAGAAGTTGGTGCGGGATGCCGCTGACCAGCCCTATACGATATCCAGCTGCTTGCTGAGATTAGAAAAAGTACTCAGAGCAACAGGGCTATACAGCAGCGCTGCACGTTCTGATGAATCGTGCACCATGAATCAGGATCGTCCCTGTTACAGCCTGGAGTTCTGTGTGCTAACGCGATCC